ATCCCTTGACCATTAGATCATAAGTCTACTTTGTAGTTTCAATATTTCCAGAACATTTATGACACAATTCGCAGATGTACTTGTTTTTTTGTGCTTTACCATGTACTTTTAAAAATTTGTAAGTACTAAGTACTTGACCTTAAGTACATTTGACCTCTGTATATTCGATCGCAGATTTCAAATCTTGAAAATGGGTAATTTCCAACACATCCATTTCATATTTTTCATATTTTTATTCATTTTTTTTCATTTCTTCTTGTATCAAATGAAAAATGTGATTGTTTCGAGCGCTTTTTGGGTATTTGAGAAAAGAAATTGATTAAGTGGCTGAAAGTTTTAGACTTGAATAAGGATTAAATAAGATTTAGTTTTCCGTTTGCATTTTTCTAAATATCTGAGAAATCAACTTGCTTGAGAAAAAAAGAAAAAAACTCGGTCTGATACGACAATTGTTGCCTGAAACAGAACAAGTGTATTGATGTTTGAGAAGTTACCCACTTTCTTGATTTGAAGTCTGCGAAACAGAAGACAGTTTCATCAACATAACTAAAGACACCGCAACTTCTAAACTCATCTGAGCAATTAAATGTTGACTTAATTCTTGGTTTCATCAAAAATCTCAACTATTGGCTTAAGTTTGTCTTAACATCATTACATGGAACATGATCTTAAGTTAAACATCGACTTAATATAACGTCTAAGATCGTAGCAACGGCATCTCTTGACCATTAGATCATAAGTCTACTTTGTAGTTTCAATATTTCCAGAACATTTATGACACAATTCACAGATGTATCTGGGAAATCAGCTTGGCGGAGAAAAAAAGAAAATACCTGGTCTGATATGACAACTCTTGCCTGAAACAGAACAAGTGTATTAATGTTTGAGAAATTGTCCACTTGTATTCTAAATAAATCAGTTAGCTAGTTTCTAGTTCTCTCGATACGTGCATTAATGAAGTTGAAATTTTTTTGAATGAAATAATCTGAATGCAGTCGTCAATCTTCGTTTTGATAACATTGTTTGTTAGTGTAAATACAGTAAAAAGAAGTAGTCATTCATGAGAGACTCTTTCTCTTTTATCTCTCGAGTAAAACAGCGACCAAAACTTGTAGTTCTAAAACAATCAAAAAACTAATCAAAAAGAAAAAAAGAATATTTGTCCGCATTTATTTATAGTTTATTTTATTTTAGCATAAGATTCCGATCGCAATTTAGCAGGTTTCCTGCTGCAACAGCACCTTCGCAGATGTTGAAACAACAAGCTACAACTGTATCAGATATTCTTCCATTAAGACGGCTAGAATCGTCTATTAATTCTACTCCTGAGCCAGATGCGTCTCAAATCTTATCTCCAGTTACCACAATTAGTGCAACTGGTAATTATTTGTGATCTACTTACCTTTCTCCGTTTATATTTTCATTTTGTTTTCCTGTAGCTCCAATTGGTATTCAAATTTGTTGGCTAATGCCGGATTGTGATGCACATATCATCGATTTATTATTTAGTAATCAGTCTAAATGTTCTGGAGGTCCGATAGAAGAGCAAATGATTTACAAACATATGGGTGTTGCTTCAGTAGTGTACAGGAACAAATCAAGTAAGGATTCTATTTTTTGCCTGCGCTCTGTTTTCTATTCTATCTACTTTTTCTTTCACATTTAGCTGCAATAAATGTTATGATGCATGGCTCTGTCACTTTCCATAATTTTGAGTTTCATACACGTTTATTAACACGTGCAGTAGACACGCGTGTTATTTATTTTTTTAATTTATCACAAGAGGACGAAGATCGCGTTAAACTGTATATTGATGTCGTGTCACCACCAGAAAATAAGTTACAAATTCAATTTTATGATAGCAAAATTACCGGTGATAAACATTTAGGGGCACTTGTTCGGTATGAGAATGATATTGGTAAATAACATTTTTTTTGTTACGACAGTTTATTGAGACTAGGGAACAGAGCTCCGTATGAGTTGTTTACGTTTTGAATCCAGTCTAGTCCAGTCAGTTGAGTAAATAGTCAAATGGACTTCGCAAATTTTTTATTTGCCAGTCTTGTGTTTTATAAAGTGTAGTACAGATGATTTTCATTGATGAGTTTCAAGTAAAAGTGTTTATATGTACAAAGTTTGTGAGGAAATAACATCTCTCCTTACAACTCATTACTGGTAGTGTTTGAGTCGACGATTTCAGCAAGTTTTGAGTCCAGTCCATATGGAGCACTTACTAATAGTGAATGAACTCACCATATTTACTGTAAAAAATAGAAAGCAAATTGAGACAATTGTATGCGTTTTATTTTTGTTGTAGATTTTCCTCAAGTTGTAAAAAATATCGCATCACGTCCACGCTGTCAAAATCGGCTTGTCAAGTATAAACAGCTGTATAAACCGGAAACATTATTGATTGAATATGACGACGATAAAAGTGTTGAAGATGTGAGAATGTTGTTTTTAAATGATAATCAAATATTTCATATAAAAGTTCATAAATGCTGTGCATTCGTTCATTTTTGCAGTGCCGATGGTATTCATTTCCTTTTCTAATAAAAAACAATCGATATAAACTATCTTATTCATTTGCTTCTAGATGCTCAAAAGTGGTTATCTCATCCGTTTCCAACGAGTATTCATGCACAACTAATTTATATTGATATCTATACAGAAAAAGAATTCAACGGTTATTTACAACGACGTTTACAAGAAATCAAAAGCAAATCGGAAGAAATTCATGTAAAACAGGACGTACAATTGCCGAAAGAACAAATAGAAATATGTAAGACAATAACAATATCCTACTGTTGTACATATGGTCTATTTGTTGCTGAAGAAATTCTTTTCCGTTAAAAAGAAGTTATATTTTATTTGGATGCTAAAAAGTCATCTGTTTTTTCCTTGTTCTCTAGGCAGTTCATCACTCTCTAAATCAACAGTACTAGAAGTGAAACCGTTGCCAACTGTGATCATTGATTCTGAACCACAATCCAAATCAAACGTTAAAAATAATCACGAAAAATCAATTATCCGATCCACAGTGCAATCAAGAATCGAAATTATTCCTGATCAGAACGCTGTATTAAAGAAAACTATTGCCTTTTTACCGGAAGAAAAGAAAGAAGTTAAAATCGAACCAAACAAACAGTCGCTCAAGACAGTGACACAAATCGCATCAACAACCCAACCAGAAAAAATACAAAATTCAAACATCGATATCAGTCAACATGCAAAGGAGACGATAAAGCCACCATTATATACACAGCAGAAACCATCAAAGGTTCTTGATAAACAAAATCATAATATTTCACAAAAAGCTGTAGAATTACCAGCGAATAAAATTACTCAAAATGGAAAAACAGCTGTTGCTGTAAGTGATATGTTGACAAAATCAGTTCAACAATCTCAAACAAAAAAACAGCTTGATATTGTAGTAAAAACGCAACCACCAGTGAATAGTCAAACTGAAAATGATTCGATTCAAAAACCAGTTAAAATGCTGACTAAACCTTCAGCTCAATCAAATCCGGCTGGAATGACTACTATTGCCACAGGAAAGGACGATACTATTCCATCAGCAATGAAACGGCTGTGTACTGATCTAGAAACTAATCATATTGAAAAAAAACACGATATTAGTACAACAAATGGTGATGATAATCAACATGTGTTTACAAATGAATCTTCAGATGGCGATAGCGATGACACTGAATTTCAAAAATGTATAAGTACAAGTCGATTGCCAACCCACATTGAAATGCAACAATACCATGTAAATGAAGATGAGTTTGAAGCACCAAGTACATTTTTATTTGGTGATGATTATTCTGTATCAATAAAAAATCAAAAATTGGCTAATGCTTACGTGAAGTATACCCAGTGTCGTGCGGAACATTTGTTAATTTCTAAACCTATGAAAATATGTTCGGTAGTAAAAGCAACTACGACAACAACCTCAAAGATACCATTCGTTGTAACAAATCAAGAGAAACCAGAAGAACAAAAACAAAAGAAACAAAAGAAACGGATTAAAAAAAGAAAAAAGGCACAACAACAACAAACAGGTAATTTAAACAAGCTTTCTGTCTTACTTTTCCTACTTGAGAATCTTAAGAGGACATAGTGTTTAGAAAACAAGTGATATGATTTTGAAAGGTGTACGACAGATGTATATTATTATTGCATTTATCATGTACTGCATCATTTGAGCGAAATTTGTTGTTGTTTTTTTTGAGATAATTTCATCATTCTGCTATTATCAATTGTTAGATATCGTTGGAAAATTTTAACACTCTACCCACTGTTGAGAAATAGAATATGAATTATTATTTCTTCATCCATTCCAAGCATATTATCGTTTCTAGATCTTTTTATCCGTTATTGTGCTATCCAATAAATCATAACAAATAAAATGATAATAAGTTTAGTATATTCGTTTGTTTTTAATAGTTGTCTGCATCTTGTATCAAGTATATAATTTTTAATTTTTTTTAATTAATTTTTCTTTTCTGTATTTTTTAGCATTAGAAAAATCGACAGACAAACATTCCGAAGTGGAAAATAATGACGATGATGAAGTTGACGTATTAAGTAATCACAATGAACAAGAAAATAATTCAACAGATATGCTACGTGTAAAATTTACACACAATATGAAAGCCGTTGTAATTGTTGATCCTGTTATACAACAAGATTTAGAAGATAATACGGATCAAGGTGAATGGCAAAATGTGCCTAGTAAGAAAACAAATGTTAAATTGGTGCAAGGACAACGAAAACAAAAGTTAAATACTCGAAAGAAAAAAAAATGAAGAAGAGTTTTAAAAGAATAACAAATATCGAAAATAACAATGAATAGTGATGTTGTCAGTCATTCAACATATATTAACTGGTAAAAAACGGTATCATTCGAATGAAAATAGATCAGATATAATCTCAAGTTTTCCTTTCGACTGTTTAAAACATACTATACACAATATCAGTTCGCTGCGAAGTCAAATATAGTAGTCACATTTTGAGTTCGCAGCGAATTATATTCTATATATATGTACCAGACACATGTACAAGGTTATTCGTATGCGGCAGGAGGTGAGGAGAGGTGAGGTTGAGAGTGAACTCGAAAAGTAATTGCACGATACTCTAATTTCGCAAGATACCTAAGATACCTAGCGGAACAAAAAAGTTCCAGAAAAATGAGTTCGCAGCGAACTGAAATTGTGCACGACCACGTTTAAAAGCAAGTGATGTGATAAACATTGTTCTTATGTAAAGTTGCTAACCTTTTCGCTTCTTTTTAACCGCTATTTTATTATTTTATTTTATTATGGTGCCAATTCGACAATTTGCTAGTCAAAAAGTAATCATTTTCATATACTATTAGTTTATTTTAGTGAATGTTCAACGAAAGTTTGTTTCTTCTAATTTGAAGACTCCTGTTGTATATATATATATATGTGTATTTCAATATTGATTTTTATTTTTGTATTGAATAAATTATTAGTCGAGGTTACAAAATTGATCATAACTAGGTCTATAATTCTATATTAGAATTTGAAATTTTCTATATTAATTATAGTTAGAAAACCTACCTTTTTTGACGATGAAAACTCAAACAAATAAGTTATCTGTATTTTATTAACATTAGATCTTGCTTAAACATGATATTACCTGCTGCCACACACAAATCAGATGTTTTTCCTTGTTTAGCAGTAACTTGCACATTCCAATTAGTCAGATCTTTTGAATATTAAGTGCATCTCCGCTTCTTAAAATTCCATGAGACATGCCTTCTAAGCAAAGAACTGTAGCTGAGTATTTAGTTTAGTAGACGTGGTAAATACTTATCGTTGCCTTTTGTTGTTCGTGTTCTTTACAAATTTCATCATCGTTTTTATACACGATTTCAATTATCGCGTGATTTTTTTATCGAAAATCATTTGAAACATATAAAATACAACAACATCAAGTACGTAAGACAGTTGATAATCATTATCTAAAAACAACATATATAGTAACAACTGAATAACGAACTTTTTACGAGAGCATCTGAAAAAGTTTTGTTTAAACAAAAGAAGTCGACTTGTCAGTGGGATTGTTTTGCATTGTTAACGGAAACTCATGTTTTCGATTGCGGTAAACTTGCGCAAGTATGCGCCATTGTATTAAAAAGTCGATGTTATGGGACGATACTTAGACTATACCGATTCTCTACCCTATAAAAAAAATTCCAGTGCGGCACTGGTAAAAATCAGTGCGCACCGGCGCGCATGGCATGCCACCGGTCACTGGCACTGGCTGGTACCGGTGCGCACCCGTGCCCAACAAGTGCCGAACCAGTGCCGATTGGCACCCGTACGCACCAGTGCCACTATATTTCTGCTCAAAGAGTGCCGCGCTGATAATTTATTTAACCCTGACACGACCACCTATAGGACTATCACTTGTTGCCCCCAAGTGCGGACCCCAAGTGGATAAAGCAGGTTTAAAAATCACTGTTAAGACATGGAACATTTTTAATCGGATTCAGCCTCGAATGATGAATATTTTCAAAAAAAAACCAAATCTCCAGCATAAAATTTGTATTTTGAAATTTAATTTGAAATTTGAAAATTTAACTATTTTGAAAAGTAAAATATCTCAATTCAGGTAAGCGTTGCAGACTTCGGACAAACGTCATTCGATAGACAAATAAAAATTGAACAAATGCAAGGGTTTGACAATGTTTCCGTATCACGTGATCCTGGCTTTCTCTGGATTTTTCCTAAATCAGGGCGAAAAAC